TTCTCTCCCGAATTTTCTGCCTCCTCCGTACCCATGGGCAGCACTCAGATCCACTGTGACCTCTCCTTCTCTCTTTGCCTCTTTTCAGCCTGCCTCATCAGGCTCCTACCACTTCTACTTTCGTCCCACTGTCTCCTTTCACAGTCCCACTCACTGAGATGACCTCATTAAGGGCTGTGCCAGACATGTAAAATCTTTTTCTCTGCTCTGCCACTTGCACTTGGAGTTGGAGGAGAGGCACAAGACAAGCCAGCTCCCTACAGACCTCATCACTGCCATAAGGAAGGTAACCGTGCTGCCTAACTCTTCACCCTAACTTATTTCACGGCTACAGGACCTTAGGAAACTCACATTACTCACTGCTGATAAAGGCTGATTAACCCCATTCTGGCTGCCATCCAGAGTCAACTATACTGTGTCAGAGCAGGAGTCTCCCTCCTTGTGAATGCTAGTACAGCTTACTTGGGAGCTCACAAATATAACTAGAGAGCTCTCTGTAGCGTACTGGCGGAATTTTCTGAAGAAAAACTAAGGTGGGTTCACCAGACCCTTCACTGCAGCTCAAAGCAATGCTTGCTTCACAGTCCTCACTGAAGGTGAAAAGTAAGTCATTTTTCCTGGGTGTTGGTTTCAGGACCAGACCTCAAGGCAGACAGCTCCAGATGCAACTAATTCAGTACACATCAGCTTTTCTGAATTGCTCTCAATGACAACATAAATTACATTTCACCTGTTTAAACCAGAAATCTTACAGTGAAAATACACTGATAAATACGATGACTGATGACTGATAAATACTGGGTGATGAGTTAGGCTTCTCAGCAAATATTTTATCTTGAACAGCTTTCTAAAAAACTCAGTAGCGTCACTCTACGTCCACTATTGTGCTATGATATTATATAGCTGTCTCATGGAAGCAATCACTCAAGCATTATCCACCAAGTAATTGGTAAATGCTCATTTCCACTGTGGCTCAGTCACCTACTTTTATTGTCCCCTGCTGGCAGTGCTATAATCCTTTTCCACCTTGAATCCCCTAAAACACCTTGCATTTGTAGATCTGCTTATTCTTTCAGTGCAGTTTTGGAAATCAGGAATGCTTTTCGAAAGGCCCCCTCAGTTAGAGAAACAGCACGGGCAGGCATTCTATATTTTCTTAGGTTTACAGATGTCTATTAGAGTGCCTTTTCAGAAGTCTTGTAAGAAAATGTATTGTTTTCACTATGTTTACTTAGTATGTCTTTCCTATTTTTGAAAAGAGTACATAAATTTTGGTGTCTTACAGTTCTTTTCCATCATACTGCTGCCTCTCAGGGAAAACTAGCAGACTACGGAGGCAGCTTACAAAAGTCCACCTTTTGAGTTCCCAACACAAAGGGTGTATAGTCATCTGCTTCTAGCATTCCTCTTTTGCATATTCTCCCAAAGCACTGGTTTTGTCTAGAATGAAGGAATAAATGTGAAAAGAAAATAACAAAGGTTGAGAAGAGGAAAGAGATTCTGAAAAAGGAAAATAATTTTCAAAAGAGGAAATACTGCCCTTGTAAGAATCAACAGCAAAAACAAAGCTTAAAATTATTTAAGACAGAAGTCAAGCGGACACCACTGTGGACCTAAGATACACATAAAGCAAAATGAAAATTTTACTTTGATGAGGCTTTGAATTATACTTTATGTTGGTGTGCAATGTATTTACTACTGACAATTAAAAGGCAGCATTTTCTTTGGTTTAGATATGTAATAGGTAGTGTTCCTCCATTCCAAACAGCTTATGAATGTGACGATCTCACCCATTTTCTATCTGTAAAGCTGACAGGCAAGTTCCTATGTTCCACTTCTTGCCGTGGTTTACAGCTTTAGTAATACTGTTAGCTATTTTCCCTATTTTCTCAGTTTCACTGCTATAAAAACTTTCAGGATGACCCCCAAGTACACATTTTAGAGACCCTGGCTAGCTTCTCTGAGTATAACTTAATTTTTCATGCTACTTACTTTTGTACTGCACAGTTATGCTGTACTGTTCAAGAAGAATACCATCTTGTCCCATTTGTTTACTGCAGCAGAAGGTCCAGTTTTCCTCTTTTTCTCTCTGAAAGCACTGTACCTTTTCCAGCTGTAAGGACTAAGGTCTGAATACACATTTCCTCTTACTCTGATGAAGTGACAATCAATGATAAGAAAAAACTTTGCTTGTACTCTTTAACTATCTCATTTATTCTTAGGTGTTCTAACAGAACAGTGCCTCTCCCTCCAATTTCACATCTCAAAACATCATACCCCTCTAGTCAATTCTCAGTCAAACAGGCATATCCTTCTACATGGCCATGGAGAGCGGGAAGAACCTGGTACAGAAGTGGAAACTTCTCCAAATTACAGAATTCTGTCAGCACTAGTGATTATTATTAACAATAGAAGGGATGATAACAATACTGGAGAGGATTACCCTTGGTCAGCGTTAAAAAAGAACTGTTCTGAAGCCTGCCTGAACTGACTGCAAAGACATAATCAGCATCTTTGTAATCTAACAACGGTTTGTTAAAATGTAAACAACGGGTAACTTAATTTCTGCAATAAAGCCCATTGTGCCAGCAGAGATAGATTACAGCGGCAGAAAGCTGTGCTTGTATGCCTGAGTGATGCCGGTTTCAGCTGACCAGTATGAAGCCCTTCTGAAACGGGGAGCAAAAACAAATGGTCATCAATAACAGCCCTCTGACTGAAGTCTATTAAAGTTGTATTAACCAAACTTTGCGTATAAAGGAAGTGAATAATCTGTATTTTTTCTACGCAGGCAAGATGAGGAAACTCATTTAACCAACTGGTAGGTACAGTGAAGTTGGTTAGGCACAAAGTCCCCTTAGTCATGCCAAAGACACTGCTTGTTGTTATTTATGTTAAGTAAAACAGTTTCAGATACAGAACAGCTAACTTTGACCTCTTTCAGTTGCGCAAACTTACTGTATATAGTTCATCTAGTTATTGTCTGACAAGTTATTTTGTCGACATCAATGAAACAGAAAAATTTGTTGGATTTAACATGATACAAAAATAGCTGAACTCTGGGGTTGGCATACAGGATTTAGCTCTCTCTTGACTCAAAATTTGGAAAGGTATGTTAACTAGGGACCTTCTTTATTTCTTTGCTATCAGTTCATTCTAAGCAGGCTGGACCTAATTCTGTAGGTCAGTTTTGAATAACAGTTGGATAGGTGAAGTTTCATATGTTACTTAATCTATAAATATATTCTATTTTACTCTTAAGCACAGATGCCGTAGGATTCAGAGATCCTGCTAAAGAAGTTGGGTTTTTTCCAACTTTCCTTGCTGTGAGGGAGGGAAGTCAGAAGAAAATCACCTTTTCCTCGTCATTAGAAAGCACTAGAAGCTGTAATTTTTTAATAGATAACCCCCAGTGATGCAAAGTAGAAGTACACTTCGAGGTGATTTATGACTCTGAAAGGTCTGTCTGCTTCAGTTTCTACAGAACTATAAGGTGTTCAATAACTATATTTCTAATCACTCTGCTCTTTCTAGGAATGCTTTTGTGTAAATGGAGAAAAACAGTGATTAAAAAAGACCTTTTATTTTGTTCACAGCATAGATCTTGAGAGAATCTTTTAAACTTTGTGATGGCCCAAAAGAGAAAGAAGGCCTGAATCTCTCTTGTAACTTCTTGCCATGGATATCACACAAACAAAAATGTATTATTTCTAGCTCAGACAAATAAATTTACAAGGGGTGGAGGAAAAAAAAAATCAATCAAATATTGTTTGACAAAGTCTTTGAATAAAAGGACTTGTGTCAACAAATCTGAACAGCATTTACAACTCTGTTAGAGATTATGCCAATTCAACGGCCAAAGGTACCAATCTTAACCCACAATGAAATTACTTATTAATCCTAATGCAAATCTGTATATATGATAGTACTCTTATTACTTTCTCAATAACATGTCTGCAGCCAGCCATCGAAAAACCTCTTTCTGACATAGCAATGACTGAAACCCTTAACTAACCTTGAACTCCTTTTTTACCTTTCAACTTACAAAGGTAAAAAAGATTAACAAAAGTAGCTATGGTAACAATCACAAAGACAGTCATATGAGGATATCTGGTAACGACACAGTCAGTCCTGAAGTCAACCCATTCACATATTTTTAGCTGTTTTCTCTAATGAAATAGCATAGTTGCTAATACTATTCTGATGTCTCTCAACAAAATGTCATCAAACCACAACCACAGAAGATATTCTAATACACAGAATTATTCAGTAGATGTAAATGCAATCAGTCAGGAACAGTCCCTTCCCAGATGGTCTGAAAGTGAGGCTTTCTTCCAAAGGGACAGAAATTACAAGATTATGAAAGTTGCACAAGACTGTACAAGCTGTCCATTTGCTGTCCTAAAGTGCTTTCTGTGTTAGACTGACAGTTGTGGGGCAGCTGGGAAATAGTGTGGCTAGGCCACAACTGATTTAAAAATAGGAGACTTGCTGCCTTTCAGACGGAAATTAGAGGCAACTGCTTATGCATCTTGGTCCTGCACCCAGCTCTGGGGTCCTCAGTACAGGAAAGTCCTGTTGGAGAGGGTCCAGAGGAGGGCCACAGAGGGAACACCTCTCCTAGGAGGAAAAACTGAGAACATTGAGACTGTTTATCCTGGAGAACAGACGACTCCAGGGAGACCTTACTGCAGCCTTTCAATACCTGTAGGGGCCAAGAAGAAAAATGGGAACAGGTGTTTTAGCACGGCGTGTTGCTATAGGACAGGGCACAATGGTTTTAAATGAAAAGAGGGTTGATTTAGACTGGATATAAGGAAGAAATCGTTTATGAGGAGAGTTGTGAAATGCTGGATCAGGTTTCCCAGAGAGGTGGTAGGTGCACTATCCCGGGAAACATTTCAGGATCAGGTAAAACAGCACTATAAGAAACCTGGCCAAGTTGAAGGTGTCTCTGAACAATAGCATGAAACAGAGCCAATGACCCTGTGTGTACTTACCATGTACCACATGCTTGGCCATTTGGGATCATTGAAATAAGTGGATTGGGTACCACCAGGTTTATAATCCCTCTTTATCCTTCTTTTAACCACCTGCTGTTGTATCCACTCCACCTGCCAACCAGGAAAACATAAGGAAAGTGTTAGGGTTCCATGAAGATTACCAAGAAATGTGTGAAATCTTGGTAAGTTTCCCAATACTGTACTCCAAGACATATCTCACGTTCAAGAATTCATTTTCACAGTGAAAACATACAGTTCACCTTGGCATACTGCTCACTAGGCAACATATCCAATTTAGTGTTACAAATCTCCCTGAACAGCTAGTTAAATAGCTGACTAGAAAGATTTCATTGGCTATCATCTTTTAAATAGTATTGGTTTACTGCTTTTCATTATGAGACTAGTACTTCTTTTGAATTTATGAAAACAGATATTTATTTTGTCTAACCAATATACTAATCACCTTCACCACTTGTGTTTCACTTGGAGTGAAAAAACCACACAAAATTCAGCTTGCTTTTTAGTAGAGTGACTCTTTGTCAAGATTCTCTCAGAGAGGCACTCCGTAACTTTATTTCATATTGAACTCTCCCCTGGGAGAAACAGCTGGGTGCTGAGCAACAACTGAAATTACAACTACAAAAAGAGATCATAAAACAGTAAAAGACTGTAACAGTTAAAAATCTAATTCTGAAAGTTATATTCTTGTCTGTCTGACACCTCTTCAAAGATTCAAGACACATCTAAAAGAAGGTGACACCAAAAGTGACATCAACCTTAGAGCAGAGACAACTGCAGTTATCTCTGCATTAGCTAATCTAAATGGGAGCTAACTTCTATAAATGCAAATAATATAAACTAACCACAGATAAACCCAAGTTATATTTATGCACATCTAGCTTCCTGACAGCTCATATTTCTGCTGCATTGTTTCAAGGGATATAACTACAAACATTCGATTCACCTCTATCCAAGCAAGATAGCCATCTCCTACTGCAGTCAACTGCACCTTTTATTTGTGCTGTTTATGAATATATGTATACACACACAAAAATATATTGTCCTGGTTCTGGTCAAGACATGGTTAAGTTTTGCAGCAGCCAGGAGGGGAACACTAGGACCCTGAGGTTATTCTATAGCACCTCATGCCGTGCTAGGGGGAACAGAAGGAGATGTGGGTACCCTTTTCTAGCTCTGGTTCGGCTGGTGTGTGGGGTGTATGGTTGGGCAGCTGTGTTCTACGTGGTACGCAATCACGTGTGACTCGTTCACCTGTCTTGTACACTCCATTACTGGCATAGTTGTTGTTACTGCTAGTTTTCTTATTGTTGTTTCTAGTAAATTCTTCTTATCTCAACCTGTGATCTTTATCTTTTGTGCCTCCAATTCTCCTCTCCATCCCACTGCAGGGGAAGAGGGGGAGGGAGTGAGTGGCACACAGTCTGGGGTGTTTCAGTGGGAACACTAAATTGGGGAATACCATTCCTAAACCACAACAGCGCTCAACATGGAGCACAAAGGATTGAGATGATAACTGATCTGACCAGAGCAGGCTGGAAACCAATTTGCTGTAAGTGTTTGTTTTATTAGGTCCAGAGCCACTGGTCACAATCTTGCTTTGCCTGTCCACGTGGTTGTGGTACTTAACCCTGTATATACTCCTGTATATGAACTATGTGTTCCTTGCTGTGCTGTGTTCCCAGACCAGAGAAAAATCAGGACTGTTTATTGCTGTACTGTGTGGTATCATCTTATGACATGATGGCAATGAGGGTCATTTGGTATGTAAGAAATTTGACAGCGTGCCTTTCTCTCCTGCTTACTGTCGTTCTCTTTCAGTTTAGTCTGAAATCTATCTCGATGGATGACCTCTTGAGAAGCTGAAAGCTGACTGCTCCCTTCAGATCTTACAGGATCTACAGGTGTCCCCAGCAGCAGCTGACAACTAATCAGTCTTATGTGCCATCTGCTATAACAAAGTCTGGAGGCTTATAAGATATACAAAGTGTATCTGGGCAAAGGCCAAAGGAAGGGGAGCCAAAGCCTCATGGTTGCTTTAAAGTGGGATCAACAACCCTTTTAACTAGCTCTCTCCTACATGCAAAAGACTGATTTATCACTCATTTATAATGAAGCCTATTCTCCTGTCATTTGCTGCTAATAAGCTTTCTTCTCCAGATCCCCACAATAGAAGCTTGTTTCCCTTCAAAGTTTCTTTTCTTGTTGGTAGCCCAGACGTCCCAATACATCGGAAGCCAACAGAGTGGCATTGTATGTACTGTTTGGTCTCTGACTCCCTAGCTGCCATACATCATAGGCCTGTCTTCCATTACTACTATTTAGCAGTCAGTAATAAAAAGATTCAGCAGGTCTGAATAAGCAACAGCGGTTTTCAGGGCTTAAACAGATCCACCTTCCAAGTCTTATTATGAGATCTGGGTCTCAGTGCTAGAAACATTTCCAGCTGAGGGGTCTCAGGCATCTATGCTGCAAGAGTATTTACTGTCATCCTGACTTACCCTTTGCTGAAGGGATTAATCACACAGGTATGTTACCAAGACCATACAGAGCACACCATGCCATGTACGGTAACTTATTCCTATCTCAAGTGTTCAGAGAAGAATTAAAAATGCCTAACATCAACACAATCTGAGGATCTGATAGTGCCCACAAAGGCAAAAACAATGAGACAGACTCAGTAGAAGATGATTAAACCTTCTATCACTGCTACCTCTAATATAGGATGCATGAACATTAATGGAACAAGGTATTCAACAACACTACTATTGTCTAGAGCATTTGTAAATAAGCGACCCCAGTGCATCTAATTTGCCATTAGAGACTCCTGTGCATTAAGGCTTCTATAAGAAGTAACTGTAAGAAGTCTTGGGAAAAATACCTCTCTTTTGGTAATGGAGGCAAAGAAATGTAAAATATTCCAGGAGCCTGCACAACACACAAGTTTAAGCAGTTAATACCATTTCTATATGGATAAATTGAATGAATTTTCTTGACTAGACAAATGGAAATACTCTTTACTATTCACTGTGAAAATATCTTGTTTCCATTGATTTACTACCTATTCAGCCACAAAAACACTGAAACATAAAGACAGCATAGTATTTGCAGAGACTGATGCATGCATACATTGCTGCCTCAAAAAAAAAAACCAATTAATTCCTTTTTCCATAACCCTTATTCCAGACAGTATTGTGGAAAACACCAGTTACTTAGTTCAAGCACTCATAAACACTGCAGCACTGCGCACTTCCAGTTTATTAGAACATACATAATTTGACACATAAAGGATTTTTAATATATGTGGATATTTATGCAACACACATATATTTGTACAAAAGTTTGTATCAACTGAGTTAATATGCAAGCCTGTAGTATAATAGGTGGTTGTATTTTAGTGATGTAAGGATAAATATTTTCTGGATCTTATCTACCACCTTTTAATAAAAACAAAATCTGTTGTAAAGCAAGCCCCTATTACAAGCTGGATGCTATCCATAATTCCAATTTCCTCAACTCCTAGCAAAATTAGGTAAAACATATGAAAGAGAAATTTTGCAGAAGAGCTGTGCAGCCTGCATGATCAAGACTCAAAACCAGTACCAAAAGCATAACTTCTTGTCCTTCCAGAAGACCTAATGACAATTTTATATGTACATAAATTACTCTTAGTAAATAGCCGTTTGATTGCACACAAATACAGACATGAGTAAATGGCATGTTTGCTTAAGTATGCATAAGGGAAGATAGCGCAGGTAGCTCTTTAATGATGGAATGGAATGGAATAAATTACCCTTGACTTAAGAGTATTTCAGTTGGAAGGGACCTACAATAATCATCTAGTCCAAATGCCTGATCAATTCAGGGCTGAACAAAAGTTAAATCACAGTATTGAGGGCTTTGTCCAAACATCTCTTAAACACAGGCTGGGACCATCAACCACCTCTCTAGGAAGCCTGATCCAGTGTTTGACCAACCTTTTGGTAAAGAAATACTTCCTAAAGTCCAGTGTGAACCTGCCTTGATGCAGCTCTGAACTACTCCCACATGTCCCACCACTGGATACCAGGAAAAAGAGATCAGCACATCCCTCTCCCTGTCCCCTCCTCAGGAAGAGGACAATACGGTTGCTTCTCAGCCTCCTTTTCTTCAAGCTAGACAAACCTGATGTAAAACATTAGGACTCGCTTTGAGCACTACAGATACACACATCAGTGAAATGGGGAAGTCAAACTGACCACTCTCAGTCAGTAACTGTGCACTGCTGCGAGGGAAACAATGCAGGAAGCTAGACAGAGTAACCTAACACATCCCAATATGCCTGATCACATTCCTATTTATAGCTTTGCCTAGAAGACTTTTAGCAGACATCATCATATGTTGAGATATGCTTTCTAACTGTTTTTATTCTGAGGTTGTATTGATACAACCTTCTAGAATGTAATTTAAAACATCCCAGGAAGACAATTTACTCATCTGACAAGTCAATGCATAAAATTCTGTTTACAGAAAATACCACTGCTATGTAAATAGAATAGCTTACTCTGAATTGTACAATCACTGAGTTATATTAATGAACACATGGTCAAGACTCAGCAGTTATTTTAGTATTGTGACATAAATTGCCTTTGAGTATTTTACGGGTATTCATCCACATATTACTGTCAAGGTATGTCTTGGATTTGTTTGTATGAGAAGAGTTCATTTGTATAAAAATATTTTCTTTTTAAAAGTGTCCACACTTTATACTCCAAAGGTCTCAAAAGAAAATCTCTGGAGTGACCGATAATACAGATTTCCACTTCCTGCCCAAATGAGACTCTATGCAAAAAATGAGGTGAGTTTTAACATTTCCATAAAGTCACACTTACTGAGGGGAAACAGTAGATGTTTTCTCATTGACTTCAGCTTCAAAAGTTCAATTTCCTGAATGTCTAGAAATCAGACCCAAGCCAGATTGGAGACCAAACCTTTTTCAAAAAATCACCATTTTGAAGTGAGCAAGTCTGCTCACTTCAGCACTCACAGGGTTGCCCTGTGCATGATGCAGCTCTTCTTCACAGGCATGTACTGAACACTGCTATAGC